CATCAGAGGTCACACATGGGACCAACCTTGTGACCCTCACAGCTGAGACTCAGTGGCTGAGGAAGATGGTGCCAAGGGGCTTGGGAGTTTCTGAGGTCCTCACTCAGAGACCATCATTCTCTTTACCTGTCTCTGTAATGCTCAACAGCAGTTTTAGGGCATGGCCCTGAGATTTTAGGAAAGGTGGTGATCAGACCTGCCTGATGGAGAGAGAGAGAGAGATATTAAACATAAGAATTTCTTTGTATATGTAGGATACTTTTACAGTTTCTTAGTATCTCACTTTATGGCTTAACACAAAATTGTTGTTCACAGTGAGCCAAATCCCCGAGAAAAGATAAAGCTATACCCTATTTGTTTTTTGGTGAAGTAAGAAACTATCGATAATTTCTGATGATTATTAGGTGTATGTAAATCACTGAAAGTGAAGTTAATTTTGATCCTCACCGTTAACTGCATGGCTGCCACGCCATCCATATTCATTGCTTTATGTTTTAGCGTTTGAAACGTTTGGTGGACTTCTGGAGTCAGCGGCCTGGCACGCCAGGTCTCCACGGGGTGACGTTGACTGGGTGTGCAGTTCTGCCCGGGTCTCACTAACCTGGGGTAGGGAGCTGTCGCTGTGGAGTGATTGATGACTGTGCCCAGCCTGCCCGTCAGTTTGGGTCATGAGTTTCCCCACTAACTAAGTTCCCAGTGAATAGTAGGCTTTTACTTTGGATTTGGAAAAATCACTGCTTTCCCCTCCTGTCACTGGGAAAGAACAATTGAACCGTAAACCCCGCCACGATGGCTCTCGCGTTTTGTGCCCTTCCTCGCTGTCTTCCGTGTTTTCTGATGTTCCTCCCTGTCTTTTGCTGTTCTCCTTTCTAGGCCATGTCACTGCGTTGGTTTTCAATCTGATCCTTTTAAGGGGCAGATTGGCAGGTGCTGGCTCATTTCATAGACATTTGAACAGACATCGCCCTGCCTTTTGTTAGGGGTTGTCAAGCCCGACTCCTAGAGAGCTGCTGTACAGCAGAGCAAAACACTTTCCAGTCTCGCACCGTCGTCATCGCTGCTGCCATGTCGCAGCTGTTTGGTCAAACCGTTGAGGCTCTGTTTCTCTTTCACTGACCCGCTGTTTCACCCAACATGATGTCCTTCCCCAGGGACCCATCCCTCCTGCTAATATGTCCAAAGCACCGGCCACAAAGCCTTCCCCACCCCTGCTTCCAAAGAACATTCTGTCTGTGATTCTTCTAGGACATGGGGAAGGAGCGCGCTCCAACAGCCCCGGGCAGCATCACTAGGACGTGTCTTTGAATTTGTCCTCTGGGACAAGTGAGGGAGAAGGGCAGAGAGCCGGATTGTGTCTTCCATTCTTGATGCGTGTACTCAGGGGCTCAATCTAAACGTTCTTTACCCAGCCTGCCATTTTGAGGAACACACACACACACACACACACACACACACACACACACACACTTAAACTTCAGAGATGACTGCATAATACTGTAAAGCTAAAAAAAAAAAAAGCCCCTTCCTTCCTCATGTACTAGTAGGAAGCATAAAATACCGTACAATAACATCGGAGTGGCTGCCAGTCAGTACTTTGTATTCTCCATCATTGGACCTTCCCCAAATTAGAGTGGTGTGTGTCATGATGGTGTCAGTGGAATTGTCTTTGCTAATTTTACTGTGAAGAATCAGCTTTCTTCATCAGAATAAACGAGTGGACTTTGGGTTTTGTGCTTTTATTTTTCTAGAAACTGAGTAAGTGCCTCATGAAACAGCATGATGGTATATGAACCCTAACAACTTATAAGACCTCTTATGTAGAACTTGCTTCCCCAGTTGGGACAAAACTTCATTGTTTGGTGCTCAATATAATTATTTTTCTCCATATGGGGTTATTAATGATGTGTAACAATTTGGCTACTTAAAATTTTAAAAGTTTACAATTTCTTGGGTGGGCTTTATGCATCACTTGATATTTTTAGGCTAAGGGTTTTTTGGAGGGAAAGAGGGAGTATATTTAATGGTAAGAATGGAGGTGTTTGAGAAATCTTTTAAAAAAAATTTTTATTCGGAGGTCTTACAGATATAACAGTCTGTAGCTAAGCCACATCAAGCAGTGTTGTATAATTGCTACCACAATCAAACATTCAAAACATTTCCTTCTTGAACTTGATATTTGATCCCCTTCCGCCCCCCACCCCCCATACTCCGTAGGAACCCTTATTCCTTTTTTGTGGGGCCAGATCTTAAGATGATCCAATGTATCCAATCACAAACAATTCTGCTGTTCGATCCCATTAAGCATGAAGAAATCTTTTATTTCTACCACACATCTCTAAGAGAAATTTGAGGCAACCCTTAAAGGATTGATCCCACTATTTTGTCTGTCTTGTTTATAATGAGCAGCACAGGAAGCATCGGAAGAAGATGGAAGTCACTGTACCAAAAAGAATTGGTGGTTGGCATTCAACAATTTCACGAGGTAGCAAGTAATCAGGAACCAATGGTATTGAGGGAGAAAGTCCAAATTGCACTGGAGACATTGATGAGAAACATTGTAAACAACAGAGGCAAGACTAGAGGCGCTCACTCGTCTATGTCAAGAGAGTTAGAAGACCGCTACCTGGCCCACTGACTGGAATTGATCCACATTGATGCCCATTCTGAAGAAAGGTGACCCAACAGAATGCTGGACATTATTGTTTTTAAAAACCATGAATATTACATTCAAGTAAAATTTTGCTGAAGATAATAATAAAAAAAAAATCGCAGCCCTACCCGAAGAGGGAATTTCTAGAAATCCAAGGGAGATTCCCAAGAATATGTGGAATGAGGGATATTGTCGTTGACATTAGATGGATCTTGGCTGAAAGCGGAGTACACCAGTAAGGTGCTTACTTGGGTTTTATTGATTATGCCGGCATTTGACTTCAGCGGATTATAACACATGGGAAATACTGCAAAGAATAGGAATTCCACCACACTTAATTTTGCTCCAGAAGGACTTGAGCCAGTTATTCAAACAGAACAAGGGAATCCTGCGTGTCGGGACTGTGTCCTTTCACTTGGCTTCTTCTATATGTTGAGCACGTGGTCGTCTGAGAAGCTGGACTATAGGAAGAAGAATGCAGGATGGGAGGACGGTGTGTTACCAACCTCTGACGAGATGCCGGTGACACAGCCATGCCAAGGTGACTTGAAACTCTGCTGCTGACGTACTGCACGCCTTCAGTGTGGATCGCAGCTCAGTGTACAGACAACCAACCCAGGTCTTCACAACTGGACGGACCGCTAGGGACATCATGGTACATGGAGAGAAGTTGGCAGTGGCCAGCCGAATGTCATTCTTTTGACTTGGATTTACAGACAATGCCCATGGAAGCATCCGTCAAGTAATCGGGTTATGGATTGGAATGGGGAAGTCTGCTGCAAAAGACCTTTCAAAGTGTTTGAAAGCAAGATGTGCCTTTACAGACTCAGGTGTGCCTTACTCAAGGTATTTTCGATTTTCGTTGACTCCTATGCAAGCAGAAGCTGCCCAGTGACTAAGGAAGACTGAGGAAGAATTGCTGCCTTTGAATTCAGGTGGCGATAAGGAATGCTCAATGTGTGTGCCATGGACTGCCAACAAATGAACAAACTTGGATTTCAAAGGAGTACAGCCAGGATGCTCCTTAGATGGGAGCTTGGTGCGACTTTATCTCCTGTATTTTGTACTCGTTATCAAGAAAGACCAGTCCTGGGAGAGGGAGAGGAAGGTCCTGCATGGTAAAGGAGCGGGTTAGTGAGAAAGGGAAGATCCTCGATGAGATTATTTGACACAGGGACGGCGGCCCCAGTGAGCACGAGCCTAATAATTGTGAGGGTGACACAGGACCGGGCAGTGTTTTGTTTGCTTTCTTGAATGAAGGGTTGCCCTTGGTTGGCACTAAGGCCCATTGTAAGTTATTGTGCTTTGACTTTTGCTTTGTTAGTTACTTTACAGATAATTCTGCACGCTTTTGTTCACCCCTGTGTTAGTCCAGGTTGACTAGAAAGACAAATTCGTAGACACTTACGTGTAGCAGAAAGAGCTTTATATCAAAGAGCAATTTGTATGTTGAGAAAATATCCCAGCCCAGTCCAGATCAAGTCCACAAGTCTGATATTAGCCCATATGTCTGATGCCTATCTATCAAGTCCTCTTCTGATTCACGCGACACATGCAGTGATGCAGGAAGATCACAGGCCAGTGAGTGGAAAGTCTCGTGGATTCCGTGGCGGTGGCAGCATCTCAGCGCTGCTGTGGGACTTCACGTGGCTCCTCCAGTTCCAGGGTGCTGACTGCATCAGTGTAGCTCCATGTGGCTTGTCAGCAGGAAGACGAAACAGAGTGTCTGGCCACCAGGGATCTGTGTCTCTTCATCATGCCCCCAAATGAGGTCACCAAACTGTGACCTTACTGACAGGCTAAACTCCACCCCTTCACTCTTAATAGTCTAGAGTTGACACCAGATTATGTATTTTACCAGAGTCCCCTTTACCGTCTCAGAAGGAGGCCTCACTGTATCTTAAGAAAGGCCCTGAGGGACTGTAGTCATTGTTGTTCAAGCCAAAAATCATTGTCCATGAGTTAATTCCGACTCGGCTGGCTACCCAGAGTAGAAGAGTTTTCCATAGGGTTTTCACTGGCTGATTTTTCTTTAGGAGATTGCCATGTGTTTCTTCCAAAGTGCCTCTGGGTGGAATCGAACTGCGAAATTTTCCATTAATAGCTGTATTTGTTAAGTGCTTACTCTACTACATGTATAAAAAAGTGTATCTAGAGGTGTGCGCAGTTGTAATCACATGGCAGCTTGGGGGATGCAGGTCGTTGGTTAGTTACTTTGTCTCTTTCCTTTATCCCTCACGGGACCTGACAATAACAATACAATTAGAATGATTTTAATTTCTGCTGACCTGTAGCTTGATGATATGTTCTGTTGTAGGCGACTAACAAGAAAATGTTGGTTCTTTTGCAGGAAGCCAGTTGAGGGCGATTCTCCATGAATGTACGTCACAATGATGATGACAGACCAAATCCCTCTGGAACTGCCCCCGTTGCTGAACGGAGAGGTAGCCATGATGCCTCACTTGGTGAATGGAGATGCAGCTCAGCAGGTTGGTGAAGTAAAGCAACATTGAAGTCTGATTGTTGAGTAGCTTTTTATTCAACGATGGGGATTGTGGTTTCATGCCCCCTGCAGAACAGGCCACCTTACCTTGTTTAGCTCGTGTTCTGGAAGCATCAAAAGCTCTTTTATATCTGAAGTGAGCCCTTTTGATATGTATACACAAATCTTTGGAATCAGGACTGTACTCATGTCAGCTCCCAGGCCTGAAAGGATTGCTTGGTTTGCCAGAACTGACTGTTCGGAGGGTCAGGAGTTGATCTTATTCAAGGATAGGGACCTCAATAAGATGCATGAGTAGGCTGTGAGTCCACACGGACTCCTGGACCATGAGGGCCTCCCTGTGTAGAGCCTCGGGCTCAGCAAATGGTGGTACTTACTGTGCCTGTCAGACTCCTTTCTCACTAGTTCTTGCTCACATTACGGGGTTGGGAAAGATCATTTTTGAGCTCATTCATAGATCCTGTGGGAGAAAATTTAAATGAGCGAAACTTTGAAGCATTTGTTAGAGCTCGAAATATTTATTATTGCTGATAACATAAATGAACTTTTATTGACTCGAAAAACTGGGTTCACTCAGCCTTGTGCTAAATAAATATAATTTGGTTCTAGTGCACTGTCTTAGAAGCATACAAGTAGAAGTCAGTTTCTAGAGGGGTAGTATTGGGAACAATCCCTTAGAATGTTTCCCCAAATGTACTGATTCAACTAAGTGTATCCATCATTTATTTGAAGCCCTTAACTGCCTCTCCTGTATCTCTTAATGTCATAACCACACTCTCCATTCATCCTGGTCCATTAATCCTGTTGGAGCTTACCTCACTGTTTAATTATTCACTCCTGGTTGTCTCTTACACTGAACGTGAAACACTTGTCATCAAAGAATCCCGAGTTGATGCTCATGAAGGCTTGTGAGGGGCAGGCGTTTCATCTCTTCTTCCTAAGTGGAGCCTAGCAGCGGTTCTCAGCCTGTGGGTCGCGACCCCGTTGGGGGTCAAACGAGCCTTTCACAGGGGAAACCCGATTCATAACAGTAGCAAAATTGCAGTTATGAAGTAGCAACGAAAATAATCTTATGGTGGGGGTGGGGTGGGGTCACCACAACATGAGGAACGGTATGGAAGGGTCGCGGCATTAGGAAGATTGAGAACCACTGCATAGGGTATTGCCTTCACACCCTACCTCCCATTCCTCATTGACTTCAGTCTTAATGCATGTCTTCTGGTAAGCCTCTTTCAGTCTGCCAGCAAGCCCGACTTGCTTTTTCTCAGGAACAGTCCCTGAATCCCCACATCGCCATATCCACAGTTTCCATGGCCACTGTGGGAGTCCACGCCATCATCTCACAATAGGGGGAGGATAGCCCTTCCCACGGTCCCTCTGCATTTACTCTTGCCCTACCAGAACACATTCTCCATACAGCGCCTTAGGGACCTGCTGTCCGTTCTTGGCTTAGGACCTTCTTAGAATACCTGGAATTAACCCCGAGTGTAGTGCTTTGGCATGCCAGCATTGGTGTGACCTCCCCTCTCTCCCTTGCTCCCCCTACATTGCTTGCTCCTCTGCCTGCTGGATCCTGGCCATGCATGGGCAGAATTCAGAGTGCTGCGAATGGTTTCAGGGTGTGGTTCTTGCTGTTCGTTCTTTCTTACCCATAAAAAGAATGAGCAAAGCAAGGCTTTCAGAAAGTAGCTTGGTTCTCCCAGATGCTCCTGCCTGATTGGCAGTTGCGCCCGTGGCTCAGAGACCCGAGGCCAGCACTCCGTTTTGTTGTGCACCGTTCCTGTGCTGTAATGGTTACCTCCTCATTTCTGCTGCTGGATCGACAGAGAATGGGCCTTTTGTTGTTTCCCTGCCAGTATGCGGAGCCTTCAGTTACTGCCCCCCCCCCCAAGTTTTCTCTTCATTAGTAAATCTGCACACAGAATGAATAGAAACTGCCAGGATTGGGGAGGTCCTCCGAAGGCCACATGGCCATTTCTCTACTCCATGCGGATACTGCTTCATCATTTTGATAAACTAGCTTGGTAATTCCACCTGGGAAAGCTTTTCTATAAAGCCAATAAGCCGATAGATCTAATAAATTATCTGTTTTATAGACGGTTGAAAATCAAGACTTTTCCAAAGGGAAGGAGATCTTTCCCTCTTTCCTAGTAACCCGAGTAATAAATAGGTTTTGATTGTGTGAGAAGCATTAACATTTATTTATTAACAGGCTATGGCAAGACAATCTGTTGATTGGTATTAACTCTACATTTCCCGTGACAGGGCACATTTGTGCTGAGAACAGGGCACGTTTGAAATCTCTCTCAGCAGGCTCTGTCATCACAGGATGCTCTCTCCTGGCCTGATGGTACCTCTGTGTCCCTGTGGCTCCGCTGAGGCAGTGACCCCTGTGCCTGACAGTTTCCTCTCCTTCCTGCCCTCGGGGTCCCTGTCTTATGCCTCCCTCCTTCTGTGAGAGTCCCTACCCTTCCTCCCTTTTGGTCCTAACAGCCCTGCCCTACTCTCGTGTGGCAGAGCTCACGAGGCCTGTAAGCGAAATCAGGACGAAGGCGCACAGCAAAGATAGCTAGAGCGAGCAAAACCAAAAATGGTGGAGGCAGACCAGAGAGGCTGAGGGGAAAGGGGAAAGATCGAGGACCCCGAGAATGGATAAAGAGACCAAAGAATCCAAGACAGGCCCCAGCCTTTGGGGACTGCATGGACCGTTGAGTGCTCACCAGCGCACCTGTTGGTCTTTGCTGCTTACTGCTCACAGCCCGGAGACACGCGGTGCTCGAGGACCCTGTGCTTTAGAATCTGTGTGCCAGGGACACAACAGAGACAACGATTGCTGCACATGCTTTCTGGAAGGCTGTGGTCGAATCCTTGCCTTCTGTGGGGGGAAGTCCGGTTCGATTGCTGGCCGGTGGCCCCCACCCCCACCCCCATCTGTCAGCGGAATCTTGTCTGCTGCGGTGTCGAACAGGTTTCAGTGGGACTTGCAGATCAAGATGGACTAGGAGGAAAGATCTGGCAATCGACTTCCCCATGTCAACTATCGGAAGCCCTGTAGGTATCAGTGGTCACCTCCACCACTGGTCCAGCGGGATGGCACAGGGAACCAGGCAGCGTTTTGTTCCTCTGTGCATGGGGTGCCATGAAATGGGGCAGATGTCAACAGCTGCTCGCCACAACCCTTCCTGGGCTTGAATTGTACCTTCTCTCTGGGACCATACGTTTCCTATTAAGCACCTTTTGGAGGTACTGGGTTGACTTTAGCAATGGCACTGCAGGCACCAGGTGACAGGCCCTGGGGGCAGATAGTTTAAGGTGGTGGCACTTTAGCCACCTCTCAAGCCTACCGTCAGAAGGCACCCACTGGCCACGGGCTCTGCCTCTGAATGTCTGGTAGGCGTGTGCATGGTACAGCTTACCAGGTATGTGTTTACAGCATTCTTAATACTTTGCAGCTGTGCGAGGGCCATTTCTAAACATCTCCATGTATGCAAAAGACCCACCACTGTTAGGAGAAAGCTTTTCAATTCCTACAGCCCTCCTCCTGATTTCTGTTCTGATGGGATCTGGGTTTCATTAGCAATCGTTCTTGGCAGCGGGCTTCTCCACCGTGTTCTGGCAATCTAAATAAGAGACACTATTAATTTTCATCATCTGAAGTCACGTTAAGTTTGAAAGTAAGGTTTGTCATTTTATATAGTAAGCAGGAATGAAAGTGAGAACAGTGATTTGAAAAATAAAACAACCCAAGTGTCCCCATCATGACCCCAGAGATCTTTTTATGGATTAATAGCCCAAAAGAAAAACAGCAACGATGCCCAAAGCAGGTGAAAGCAACTTACTTGACAGCTTTACTTAATCTATTTTTTGGGGGGGTGGGGGTGGGGAGGCAATTGAGGTATAATGCTATATACCGTACAAGGGAGCTTCAGAAAGTTTGTGGAAAACTCACATTGTCTTTTAATTCCATTTTCCCCATGAACTTTTTGAAGTCCCCTGGTGCATTTCCGAATTCTTCCCCTCCTAATCCTGAGTCCAAACTTGGCTTCCGTGAGTAACCTTTTTGTGCTGTGGTAGGTACTGGCTCGTAGATGTTTGAAAGTTTAAAGTCCAGCCAAGTGAAAAGTTGGCTTCCCTTAAAACACCATCCTATTCTTGAGCTGTAGAACCAGGTTCGACCTGGATTTTTATGTGTGACTATAGAAATTACAATAATGCCCTTCAGTAATTTGAAAATTGATGCCTGTGCTCACATTTTTCTAAGCCAGTGGTGTATTAGCTGTCTTTATTATGGACCTAGAGCACGTCATAGAGACTTAAAAACACGTAGCAATTAGCTTTGAGCACAAAAGGGTAATAAGCAGCAGGCCAATGTGAGGCATTTCTCTGTCGGCTTAGTGTCTTAGTAATAATATTTGAGGAAGAGTTACAGCAGCTACACAAGGAAGTCACCGAGAAAGACCGTGATGTTCACGTCGGGGAGCAGGGTCTCCTGATTTGGTCTTTGATACGTAACGAGCGTCTCGAGGGCACGTGGCTCCCTCCTTCCGTTCTTCCCGGCTTTCTTCCTCCTGCCGATGCCGGTCGGCTCCTGGTGAACCTGGTCTGAGTTAGACACCTCACCCACGGAGTAGCTGGTTGGCATTTTCTGTCTGCCATCCTGTATTTCTTATTTCTTGACTCTTTCTTTGTTGTTCTTTTCTTTCAAGCGTTCCAAATAGTCATTGTTCATAGGTGGTCTTCATGCCTCTTCTTCACGAAGCAGATCTCCGTAAATAAACGCAGAAGACGTGGCTCTTCCTAGCTCAGCACAGACATGTCAACAGGTTTACCCCGGACGGACGCCATGGGGGTGAGGCTGCCTCAACCAGATCCCGCCTTCTGACTTTGGCCTATTTTTGTTTATTACCATTTAGCCTGTCACTCCTCAGAGAGAGTTCGTTTTCTTTGCTCTGTTGTGTTTTTCCATTCGAAAGCTTCCGTCTCCCC